GGGGGGGGGGGGAGCCAAGTCCCGAGTTTGACTTTAGAAGTATTTATACCGATGGCAGGGAACATTCGAAATGGAAGCAATAGCAATGGACGTGCATTCCTTCTCGTATCGGAGGAAAGTTCTCTGCACTATTCGTACTGGTGAAAATTTATACTACGGGGAGTCTGGTTGGTCGCTGCCGTCACTACGTGCCCACTAACTGACTGCTCCATATCGGAATTGCGAATTGCTGCGCAGAAATTGGCAAAACTGGTTTACGTCGATTTCTGATCACACCAGTTTGCGCCAATCCTTTATTTTCCCTTCTCAATCGAGATTTCTCATCGATTCTTCAGTCTTGGCCATTCTGGCACCGTGCAAGGCCAAACCGACGGAATTCTCGGGGCAGCCCTATTAGACAACAGTCCGGAATACACGCGAACATGCATACTGCATGACCTGCGGTCCATTCCATTCGTGGCTGCTGTCCCGCTCGAATCGGTCGATCCTAAAATTTCGATACCTTCGAATCGACAGTCGAGGTTTGGTCCAACCCAAAAGTTCAACCTGTCTGATGAGTAACGTAGCATTTTGGAGTTTGACGGAGGACCAGAAAGCGATCCACGAGTCTGCGAATGAGTGTCGCTCTTAAGCGGCGCTGCGGGATAGATGCTGCTTATGAATAGATGATGCTGTGGGCCGAGTGTGTCTATTGAAATCTGGAATCGGTGAAGCGAGACGGCCCTACGAATACGATTGTCAAGGCGACCCAAGGGACTCGTAATCCTCACATAAAGTGTCAGATATCTGCTTGATTTTCAAATCACGCAGCCAAAGTCCTCTTTAAGCTAACCCTAGTTTCGAATGACGACGGCGTTTCTCTCTAATTGTAACCCTTTCACCTTATGCCACGCGTTACCTGTAGACCGAAACAACCAAATGCCGCTTATGAAGAACCTTGAGGTTGGAGCCTCGTTCTCTCGATATGGTCCATGGGAGGATCAACAGTGACAGTGTACGTATGCATTTAATATGTTCATGAAAGAAGGCGGTGTCCGTACAATTTTGGAGGAAATATTTCGAATTTCCCTTAGCTGTTATGGCCGTGGTAATAGCTCTAGGAGATACCGTAATTGTAATTACTTTCTCTGTTATTCAAATTTCAACGAAAGCTATGCAAATTGCCGGTAATTGCGGTTTATGTTTTACCAATTACGATACGAAATTATTGGTCACTTTGTTAGGATACATTTCCCGACTCTCGTTAGCCGCATCGCGGGACACGATTGGTTCACGTTTTCCTTTTTTCGTTTCCATGCCTTGCCGCTGCTTATTTATTAAGGGAGGCAAATTTTGGCATTTTTTAAAAAGGCCTAATGCGAAATTCACTCGATTCTTTCTCTCCAGGGGCAATTCGTCGAATGATCAACGGGTTCCGAAACTTAGGCGCAACGTACATACACGTACAATACGTCCATATATTTAATGATCAGACTTTAAGGCGAGACGACAGAGAATGAGAATCAAGGACTCAGAGTCGCCGAGAAATGAGATCAGTCAGCTGTGTGATTCGTTTACAGCAAAATGGAACTCGGCGTTCCTTCTTCAATTAGTTTAGATCGAATTATCGAGAGATTCGACGAGCAGACGCGAGACACAAGGAAAAATCGCATTTATAGTTCGATCCGTGTTTTCTATGTCCCTATTTCTCTCTACTGTGACACGCAGTTACACTTAGTTACAGGAAGTTTCTATAGTTGCATGAATTGTTGTAGCCAGTGTAAAAGGCAGTTGTCACTGGCACTATTCGATTCGATGGCAGCTCATCTCGCCGTACATCGTAACCGATCCTTCCGGTCCGTGCGCCTCCAAAATATTCCGGTTGCCGCCACTTTCCGTTCGGTCCAACCTTCGGTTCGTCACTATGATGTTTCTTACTTTTTAATTTTCCCTTTATAAAGGACGAGTAAATACAACATGGTAGATCGTACGTATACTCCTAATTTATTATTTATTTATTGAGCATTTTATGTCATATTATAAATTATAAATGAACGTCATATCTATAGGATCCGCAGGAGCCTTCGTTCGAGATGGATGTTGAGTCTTTCTAGAAGATTACAGTTAAAAAACTTTTGACGTCTCGACGCTAGAAAAGAATTGGACCTTTTGTGGTTTTCTTTCTTCTACTTAACCGAGTTGTCTTTGAATGGTAAACTGCTGCTGGCTGTTGCGAAATTCTTGCAAGCAGCGTCTTTGAAATTAAGCAGAAAAGTAATGAAACAGCCCAAGTCCTCGTTTCGTCTTGTGCGACGAGTTCCCGTTTGTTTGATATCCTATTACGAGGATTCCAGCGGGCATAAGGAGGTACCTTATGGCCAGGAAAGCTGCAGATGTCGGTTAACGGGGTTAACGGGGTTAACGGGGTTAACGGGTAGGAGATGATGGGGAATAATGGCGAAGAATGCCGAGCAATACGAACTAACATCAAATTATCTCTAATTCGCAACGCTGGAGCGAGTTTCTAAGGAAAATAATAATCTTAATCGTAAGTGAAGCTTCCTTGACAGGTAAATGAATTAACGCGGAAAGCGAGAAGTCGCTGTACTTTTATGCGTCGGGTGGGCGCAAATCGACACGTGCAGGGATGCTGGACGAGAGTGCCCAAGGGGCAAAGAAGCGAAAGGATCGGTTGTCTCTATTGTGGGAAAGAGCCACGCAGCACTAGGAATAAAGTGGCCATAACATATTCCGAGATTCCAGGAAACGCGGTCCATACGGGACAAAGTTTGAATGGCCGCGCTACCGTATGATAATCCGAGTCCAGACATGCGAATAAAGAAGAGCAATGGCTGCACCGATTATACGAACAATTCTCAGCCTCGGGCGCGTTGCGCTCTCTTTCGGAAAGGAGGAAAAAGCCTGAAAGGGGACGAAAATTGATAAAAGTTACAAACTCGAGTTTGATAACAACCAAGGGATATTCGTTCAAAATTTCCTTTATACCGGTAATCCCACAAAATGGCCGAAAATATTCAGGCTGGCAACCCTTCGCTTGGAACTCCAGCGGGTAAGCAATTTTTTACACACCCGTACGCAATAATTACACCGTCCGAAATAATCTCTCCATCCCTTTCTCTTTCTTTCTCCTCCTTTCTCTCTCTCTCTCTCTCTCTCTCTCTCGAAGGCATCCTCCTCCTTCCCACGCGCGATCCTCGCTTTTCTCTTTGCCTGGGCTGCTGTCGCGCAGCCTCACAGAATTTCTGAAGCTTCCTGCACAGGAGCTCGCAATTCTCAATCCTTTGAAGAAAAACACTGATCTGGCGTTTGGTTGCGCCAGTGGTTAACCGGGACTCTGGGATTCTGCAATCATGCAGGCTGCGATGCCTGCTGACAAGGCGGCTGCGCGGCGTCGCTTCGTTGGGGCGACGCGCGACGCGCGACGCTGACTCGATGAGAAAAGCACGAGAGCGTCGCTCGCGCCATTCTCTTACATTTCCTCCGATTTCGCGATATTTATATTCGAGACTGAGAGAGAATCACTCTGAGAGAATTAGTCGGACGTGTGCACGGAGCCTAAGGTTAACGGGCTCAAAGCTTACACCCTAATTTGCCATTTTAAGTCACTTTATGTGACGGTTTTAACGGCATAAATGATTTTTATTGCCAGTCGGCAACGAAAGAGAGTCGAATAAAATAAAGGGAATGACTTCTCCCCCATTTCCTTCCCTTCTTTGCGAAGAGGGATTTTATTATCGCTACTATCTCTATACCCTTGGTGTTACCAACCTTAGCTTCATTTCGCAAAGCTGCAATAGTAGCACATTATCAATAAATCAAGTGAATCGGCGTTGCAAAGCTCAGAGTTCAGAGGCTCATTCTCAGTCCCATTATCCGATCTCACTTATTTATGGCTCTCAACTCCTTCATTTCTTTGTCAACCGGCGATCAGAGATTTATTGGAGGACCATTTTAAAGACGAGTGGTTTATCGCCTCTCACGGCAAGAACTGTCGGTCATTTTTCTTTTTGTACAGAGACAAATACAAGGTCGGGAAAGCTTTAGGTTGGCGAAAGCTACTCTTCACGGGGAGAGAGAGAGAGAGAGAGAGAGAGAGAGAGAGATGGTGAAATCGAATAAAATGATTTTATCGAGCAGCCTCGAAACTCTTCTTATGACTGCTATCTTCATCCTTCATCTTCGCTTGCACCGTGAAATTCGCTATAACAAAGTTCTGTCGTCCATCCGTCTGTCCGTTCGTTCGTTCGTTCATTCGTTCGTTTTCCCTAATAACGAGAGAACACAATTAACGCCCCTATGACCCCTCACCCGATGGTGCAAAAACGCCGAAGTGAGTTTCCTCTGAAACCTATTAGAAAAGCAGCCACCGTACCACAGCTTCGCCGACGGGAACAAAAAAATTGAGAGCGTTTATTTTAAGCTTTACTCTTGACGCAACTTGGAAAAATTCGCTAAAAATATAAATGAGAATGGTATAGTGGGTTGCAGTGCCTAACGCGAAAGGAGCACGGACGGTCGACGAAGGCGGTGGGGAGGGGCGGGGGGGGTCGCAGTTACTTCTATTTCACGAGGGTTAATCTTATTTAACGCGATTTGACAATTGCGCTCGAAGTAGCTCGTACTACGAATCCGATAGCCTCACGCTGGAAGCACGAATCAATTAAAATTTGATTAACATCGATTGGTGCTATATTTAATTAGTCGATAAACTTGTAAATTGTAGCTACTATCGCAGGTTACACACTTCTAGTTGTTTGATGGGTGTGTTGTCAATGCAATTGCACAAATCGGGGAAGGTGGGGCAAGACGAACGCTTTATTGAAACATTGCTGTCTGAGCAATTCGATAAATATATCGTAATTGCTCCACCTTTCTCAAATTTTTCTGGGTAACTCATCTTACTCAATCTGGGCCGTTTTACCACAGCATCCTCAGTTAGTGTTTCGCGTGTAAGGAATGATTGATTATATTACAAAGCATACGAAGCGTATGATTGTTTGGGAAGGCGCGTATCTAGGAATCTAAGGGATTGGCGGGTGGAGGGGCGAGGGGGTAAGGGTTGAAGTGGTTTGGTCCATAGAGAGATAGAAATATAAAAAAATAAAGCATCGGGAGAGAATACATAGACGAACCTGAGTGAGCTGTTCAGCGGCAGCCTCGGTCGCCAGTCTGGCCAGGCCTTCCTCGTACCTCTCGAGGGCGGTCAGTCTTAGGAGTAAGCTCTGCAACAGGGCGGAGACTTCCTGCCTGGCGGCGGCGTCTACGGCAGCCACTTTCTGAGTGATGGCTCTTACGTGCCCCATCACTCTCTCGTCCCGGAAGTCGTACGGGAACGTTTCTGTCCACTCAGCAAGCAGTTGGACCAACCGAGGTACAAACCGGTGAAGACGTTCCTATGGCACAGATAGGACACGTTCCTCGTAAAGTTCACTGATATGTGGAAAGTATTGGAAAATCCTTGTATAAGGGCGTTTTGATCAGGATCGATATTGCATCGACCGAACCACTCGAGATGCGTCGCCTCCTTTATTCTTGCATCCACTGGCTGGACCAATTTGGACTTACCTTGCCGCCCTCTCCATTCAGGTTTTGCTGATGTTCGCAGAGGGCGCAGACTTCTCCGAGGAGCTCGTGCGGCTTGATGAAGAGCCTTGCGCTAAGCAAAAAGGCGAAGAGGTATGCGCGATCCGGATAATACTCTTCGGTGGGTACCATGTGCTGCACCAAGGCCTCCAAAGATCCTGACACCAGATTACCGTCACGGTAGACTAAGGCCTGAAACAGACGATTTCTCATGAGCATCTTTGCTTCTATTCCGTCATCAGCTACTTTAGTCCTTATTCTCTATTGGATGGGCAAACGACTTAATCGCTCATTGAGGATCATCTCTGGGGTGGATTCGTTAACCGGAAGCTGAAGCACGTTCATCCTGCTTTCTAAAAAGTCATTCTGGCATCTTGCGGTTACACCGGAAGGGTCAAAACGATGTCGACAATTTATATTATCGACTAAATTCTTTGTAAGAGTAATAGGTTCACAGTATAAAACAGCTGATCGAGAAATGGAAAGACCAAGGATTCGAAGGAACGTGTCACTAGATCCCACGTTCTTTTCGGTTCGAATCGAAATAATTTACGCGGTTGCAGCTCGCAGCTCTGCAGGTGCAAAATATTCCCGCGTCCCCCCGGATGCGAATGTGGAAGAGAACGGCAAAGTTTTGATTCGGTTTGTTTCATAACCACAATTAGAAAGGACACTCCGCGTCTCGACTGGCCCCGGGGTGGACCATGGCGCCTCCGGGCGCCACCACGCTGGAGTTTGACTGATTTCGCTTAAAGTTCCGCTGCGCAGCCGTTCGAGCTGCATCCTGTGTGCCAGCGACGCGTGGACAACGATCCGCGAGATTTCGAATTCTCTGGACGTGTCGACTGGTACTTGCGAGTCTCGGCTCTGCAGATCTGACTCTTTTGTGAAAATTAAACAGTTGATTATAATCTCTGTCATGTAATCACGAGGTAGACACTACAGTCGATTTTTAGTGTGTGGCTAGATGCAGGAAGCGCAATAAATACTGAGGTGAAAAAAATTAAAAGCAAGAGCAGTAGAACAGAATAGGAGAGCATCATTTCCAGGGTCAGAGATGCGCTCGACAATATGGAAGGCAAGTCTACGTTGAGTCCGTTCACTTCGGAAACCGAAACAGGGACTACCTATAGATATATTGTAATGGGCAAAACAGTTTGAGGCTTGCAAAACAAGCGAAACGCGGACACAGCAGCGGTCTTGTTTCAATAGAGGTTGAATTGTTTTTGTTCCGCAGGAGCTAGGGAACTAGCGAGCCAACGAGTCAACTGGGAGAGTTGCAATAGGGTTGGGTTTGATCAATTTGCGAGTATGAATTTTCCACTGGACGAAGGTGCGCTTGTGGGATGTGTGGAGCCAAGCAGCCGATAATAGGAGTTCTGGCAGGAAGACATTTCAATTAGTAACTAAGGAGGAACGATGATCAAGCTTCGGCCTGCCTCCACTTGGCAAACGTAATAATCACAAGACTCTGTTTGCAAGTCCCTCTTGTTCGTCTTTTCCTCAATTTCTGCTTTTCGTTTTAGTTTTCTTAGTTACCTCGAAATTCTGCCACGAGCCTTCTCTTTCCGCCCTGAACGTTCGCTAAGTTAATTTCCACAGCTCGAATGTGGGTTGCAATATCCTTCGTCACCCGAAGCTAATCCGGCTGCGACCAACCGACCGATGGCCTGGGCTCGTCCGAGTCTTCGTGTCGCAATACAAAGAATATTTGAGGTTCGTCTCTCTTTTGCTTGGTAACGCGTCCACAGGATGGGAGTTTCGTAGTGCGATCTCCCTTCACTTTTTGCTAATTTTCCTTGGCATCTTCTAAGGATACTCATTAACTTTCGCAGAAGTTCTTGACTTTTTTCTATTTTGCCAATAACGCTGCACTTTAACGCTTGACGCTTCTGTTGACAGCCTTAGATCAAGACAATCCTTAGATCCATAGAATATCTGGCGAAAAATGTAGAACTCGAAACAGGCAAGCCTACGCTATCTTCTTCTTTCTTTGCTTATATTCTCTTAACGGGGAAAGATACTTCTTCTTCGTAACCGTAGTAAACACATTCCTTGCCCAAATTCCTTCTAGCTTCTTACTATTGCGGCTGTAGTTACACGTTTTATCCATGTGCACATGGATAAACTATAATTCTTCAAATTCAAATAACAAATGAAGGAGGGACTGGAACCTTAATAAGAGTAGAGGAGCTATAGAGCTGTCAACTGCTGATCCCATTGAATTTCCCGAGTATTAAACTATCGAATAAATTGAAGAGGCCACGCGATACGTACATTTACGAGTGGGTATGTATTAAGGTTGCTTTCCTCGGAAAATTGTACAAGACATTTTGCTCCATACCTCCATAGTTATTCGAATTCCTTGAAAAATGTCGTTCAAGTTTCAAACATCTCTGTGAGCGAAGTCAACGTGAAAACCAGGTACTTTAACCAGGAATATAAAGCTGCACTTTAAACCTGCGTAAAGCAAACGCCTTCGCCCAGTTACAGGCTCACAGGGCGCCTTGCGTCGCACGAATTTAAGCCTTAATGGAGGATGCATGTGCGAGACTGGCCAAGAATGGAGAAATTTTTCGAGAAATCTCGAGAGAATTGCAAGTGGTTCCTCTTCGCCCCTCCTCCGTTCTTCTTTCACTCTGTACATCTATTATCTGTCCCCGCATCATTTTCAAAACGGGACAACGTCTACGCTTTGAATATTCAATTCTTCAGCAAAAGAATGCGTGTATAACGATGCCAGCGTGGGATTCGCGAAAACACGAGAAACACGAGAAACACGAGAAACGCTTCTCAGATATTTATGAAAAATTTTCCGCAAGTGGAAGTACAAGCCAGTAATAATGCTTGCTTCTAAGGGGATTACTAGTTGTTGAATGAAGAGAGCTCAGAAGAAAGTAAGGGCAAAAAATATGTCCGGAAAAAAGATAAATACAGGAAGCAATGCCAAAATAAAAAGAAAAATAATAGGAACGGAGTAAAAATAAGGAGGGAGCACGCTAACTCTGCAGTATTTAGGGAAAAACAGGGGGACGTGGGGGAAGATACGCTAATAAAAAAACTGGTTCCAGCTGGAGGTTCGCGACACGCGAAAATTCAAGATTTGAGAATCGGGGGGTTCTTGGCAATTAGGAAATTAGGCATCGCAGGAAGGGAGTAGTCGCCCTTGTGAAAAAACGACAACCGAAAAATAAAGATGGGGGAGACGGAGCGAGGAAAGAGGCGTCGACGGCCGCATTACGAAATAATTAGGCAAGTACTTCGCTTGTGGCAGCTGCCTAGGCTTCGGTGCTCGAAAAACTTTTTCCATTGAGATTTCGCGGTTCAGGGACAGGGATAAGGCCGCAGTCAGGGAACCGAGAAGAGCAGCGCCAGACGTAATCACAGTCAGACTGCTATTAAAATAATTCTTACTCGAACTGGACGAAAACCCAACTTCATTCGCTCCGATATGAACATAATGTGTAATTAGTGCGAAGTGCCAGTATAATGTTTGCTGAAGAAATCTGGTCGAGCCGGCAGCACCGCTGACTCTTATCGGGCTGTTACAACCTATACATACGACCTACTGACTGGCCACACACACTCAGCTGGACCGTATGTCGTTACAGACTCGTGTGGCTGTGCTTCCGTTTAGCTGAGTTACTTTACTTTAATACGGGAGCATCGGGAACAAGTACGGAATTGCAGTGGTAACGCTGTAGGCGTACACGCTGCTCGGGAGTCCAGCTCGTGTGACGTCGTGTGCCACGTTGCTTTGGCTCGCAGCACAGTCGCGTGCTGCATCGCATCTGGGCTGCCGCGCGACCCCATGGAACGTCGGACCCGTGGCTACTGCCAGAGTGACTTGGATTTCCGCATAGTCGCCGCTTAATGCCAGAGCCAGATAAGCCAAATGTGGCAAAGCATTCTAACTCCGAGGAATTGCAGAAAGCACCGGAAGCTAGGCAATGCCATCTCGACATCCCGAGTTTCAAGCGTGTCTCTATGTTTTACCAACAAATTTCCAGAATCTCCGTCTGTGCCAAACTGTGTGTTATTATTCTTTTCCAAGGGTAATTTTTAAATGGAAATTCTCTCCGTGTGCTTTATCTGTATCGAAAAACCAATTGCGTTATAGAAGCACGTTATCGTGTGAGTCGTTCAATAGAAACGGCAGATGGAGTCGAAGGTCAGTCCGAATCGAAGCACCGCGAAGGCTACTCGTTAAATCGTTACCGTATTCCTTTTGCTGCAATTAGAGCGTCCTTTCTTCGCCGGGAGAAAAGGAGAACGCGACGAGGACACAGAAGGAATAATTGGAGCCCAAGAATGTCGCGAAAGATAATAGATAGTTTCCAACGCAGATAGAGAGGAAGTTGCGTCTCAATCGGCGCACCGGCGCACCGGCGAACGTGCCGACGCGTCAGATTAATCGCAGGTTCTCAGCGTAACGAGCGACGCCGATTTTTCGGCTTTCTTGGTTTTCCTCTCTTGAATGAGAATATTGGATGCCAGCATCTACGTTGGAGCGTAGAGCCAGGAGAGCCGGGAGAGCCGGGAGAGCCAGGGTCGCAGACAAAGCTTTTAATTCTTAGTGAATGGAGGAACGAGCGCCGGCCGAAGGACTCGTCGGTTTCTTGATACCCAAGGGAGAAGGGAGAAGGGAGAAGGGAGAAGGGAGAAGGGAGAAGGGAGAGAGTGGGAGAAGAGGTGAGATAGGAGGAGTGGCTGAAATCGGCAGTGGCGGAATAGATTGATGGATCAGCTAACGGGTTAGGAACAATAGTTAACTTGAAACGTAATCGCTTAATTCCAGGAGTCGGCATCCAATTGATAGCTCTTGTCTGCTCATCGATTTTCAATTTTAACGCAGCCAAATGGACTTTAATCGTTTCCTCTTCTTTTATAAATTTACACAAAGATAGGCAGCGAATGTGGACGTTGCCAGGTTGCCAGGTTGCCAGGTTGCCAGGTTGCCAAGATATCAGAGATGTGCAGGCTAGATGGAGAGTGGCTAGTAGGCACAAGAGGATAGGCACGACTCGGGAGTAACGATTATCACTAGGTTATTAATTCAAGGTGGACGTCGCAGTCTGGCAGAATTACACTGACGAAGAACTTGTTATCCCGAAGATTGCGACCGCAGGGCAATTGACGTTGCATCCGTTCAATATCTCGGAGAAATCACGCATAACTGATAGGCTCGTCCGTATATACAGACTACAGTCTGTCCACGAGTTCACCGTGTTTTTTACAGTTCGCAAACAATGCAGTCAGTCCTTAGCAATTCACACGTGGCTTTTCATAAAATCATGCTACTTAAATACATGTTAAGCTACAGAAATATATTTCCCTATAGAGAACAATGCACGTGCCTACTTTGTATTGGCAGTTTTATGCAGTGCCACGTATGGCCTGATAAAAGTTTTATTATTTTTGATCCGTCAAAAAAGCACATTGTACTCGGCAACCGATTATACCTTCATTTTTCTTCGTCCTCGTAAACTTCTAAACTCGTTAAGTCGCAGGTGCAATGTTAGTTCAGATTCGTCTAGATCTTTGACTTTCCGAACTCGGAAATTCACAATTTACTTTATTGCTAAAGACAAAAAAATAAACAAGTTCCGACAATGACGCAACACGAATAATCGCCTCTTTGATTGACGACGTAGTATTCATAGAATTAGAAAGTGATCGTGCGATCTATCTGATGATCGACAGAATCTATACATATGCCCACGGGATTACAGAAAAGAGAAAATGGGGAAAATAGAAGTTTAGTCGCGTGTACGAAGCGTCGGGAAGTTTACTCGAAAAGAAGGAATGTGTTACGTTTGCGTCAGGTTTAAGATGGAAGCGACTCGGTATCGTTTAAGGGATACGAAAGGAAGTGACGCAAATGACGGAGAAAGCAGGGCCTTCCATTCTGCGGGGCCTAAGTAGACCTTCGGGACATGAAGCTGGAAGTTGGCTCGCGTCTCTTTATCGAGCCGCCGTTGCAGGCGACCATCAGCCATAGGCGATTCTCTGCAGCAGGTCAACACTCCAGGGAGGGAGAAGAACTCCGACCGCCGGATCTTTTCATTTTCGCGCAACTCCTCCATTCGAGGATGGCGTTTCGGGCGCGTTCCAATTATTCCTTGAATGCACTTTTCTGGAGCGTAAAGGAGAAATGAGAAAGAGGGTGTGAGACGAGTGAAACACGTTGGGATTGGTGGATAGGAAAAGAGGAAAGGAGGAAAGGAGGTAGCGGAGGTGGAGAGTTGAGAAAGCGCGCGGTTAGGTTAAACGTGTCGAGTGGAGAGTAGCGGATGCGCCGATAAATCACGCAGAGCGCGTGACGAGACTTCCAGGAACAATTAGAATTTCACCCGGGGAAATTCTCGCGCTTACACTTGCACGTCAGTCGTAAGCGTTTGCATGTTTATTATGGTGCATCCAGCCACGCATCCACCCACGCATCCACCCACCCATCCACCCACGCATCCATCCACCCATCCACCCATCCATCCATCCGTCCAACCAGTGCGCTTTCTTCATTCCCTCCTCCCGCCCCGCCATTCCTTGTCTCCCGATTCCTGATTGTCGGATAGTTGTGCTGGAAGGTCTTGAAATACGAAGAGAATGAGGCCGAAAGAGCAGAAGGAGCTCGAGATAGCAGCTGACCCTGGGGCTCCCTTAAATGATTGGGCTTTCAATTTTCCTACAATTACTGGAAGAGTTACGGCGGCAGATAAGAAAATACGGCAGAACCTTTTATCTCATGGAGCATGATCCACGAACAGCAACTGCTAACTGCTAACCGGTAAGGGGGTTGCGGCCATTCTGATACGCTCTGGCACCATTTTGTGTCGCCCTGCGAGAAATACATTTCCTTGGGCTGGCTCACCGTAAAACAGAAATGTCTTCCGTTCATTTTTATCGTCCAAGTCAGATCTAAGAATAAGTGCTACTCTATAGGTAGCTACCTTCGCCGATCCCTCCATCTACTCTTTTTTAGTCTTCTGGTCCTTCCCATCTCCTGCCCCCCCTCCCTCCAGCCACCGTTTCGTCCCTTTTGCCAACACATTAAAATTTAATTTCTCTGTAATTCGAGCAGTCGCCGATCTCTGTGGCCCCGATATTCGTACTTAGCAACCGGTGCTTTCGATACATCGTGGATGTGTGTATGTAGTGATATATAGGAAGATAAATATTCAGGAGATACAAGTGGATTGCAAGTGAGAAGATGTGATTTAAACGTTCGTCAGTCATCGATACACGAGTGATTCGTCCAGCGTATTGTCAGGGTGCCGATCAAGAACTGACTGACTCTTCTTCAGAATATTACATTATCCGATTCTTTTTACTTTCATTCCTGCATCCTTATTCTTAATCTTCCGATTTCTTCCACACATCCTACTCGAATCCTGGCAATTGTCTCATTCGGCCGTTTCAGACTTCAGCTGGTGCCTAACCATATTTTGTACTATCGTAAATCTAAAAACTTAAAATTTTTCACGTGGCCTTTCAGCCCGCACACACTCGTTAACCATATCGTTCCCACGCATACAGAAATATTTCTACTAACAGGCTATAAGGCTGAAAGAACCTAAATCCAATACTGCACATATATTTCGAAAGGAAATAGCCGCAAGAATTCGATCCCGAGATTCCGAGATCAGTGCCGAGATGCTTGCAGGTCAAAGATCTGCAGCCCGCATGTGGCGTTTTCTCGGTCACTGCGTTGCTGTTCTGCTGCGTTATTCTGTATCCTATCCTTTCCTCGTGTGCGCCTGTGTGGAGTTAATCTCCGCGAGACTCTGTTGTGTTCTACTCTCGTTCTGCTTTCTGCTGCCAAGGATTTACGCGTCTCCTTGGATTGATCCAGAACTTTCACAAAGCGCAATCGCCTTATGTAAGAGAGACGAGTGATATTTTGTGTTTGTTTCCATCGAACGATGACCCCTCGTGTCACTGACACCATGAAGAGACCGAGTGTCGCCCAGTGCCGCGTAATGTTTCGTCTCCCACCTTTCATGACTCACGTAACATTTTGGACTTCTAATCTCCCTTGGGCTTCCATGAAATTAGATAAAACTTCGTGAAAACGATTAGGCGTGTGGTCTTCACTGCGCCCACATCCTCATACTTGGACGCTCGCACTTTTCTCAAAAACCCTCGTCTTCGTTTCTCTAATTGCCGATAGTTGTATTGGTTGATACGTTATGGCGACATTACGACGTCGCGTTACTAAACTGTACACACAGAATTCGGATTGACTGGTCGGTTATCATTTCTTCGAGTACTCACGTGTTCGGTGTTTATGGCTGTGGCATCCCGGATATCCTGATGGTCAGTACTGGCCCCGTTTACCAATCCAGCTGCGGAACCGAGAGTCAAGACACCTCCCGCGCCGAGACTTTTAGTTCCTGCGCCGCCGGCGGGCGTCTGGGGTAAGCTCTGCCAATAAGAGAATCAAAGAGAAATACATTAATCTATGGAATCGAAGTTAAGCTCATCGGTCTGTCGTACGTCTCTTCCTCTTTCTTATGCACGCTATGTGTCTTTTATATACTCTCGCAATTTATTCATATAAAAACTTTGTTCGCGTATTTTCGTTGTAGAACGTTGCAATGGGATTCGCGGCCGTCAGTCAGCCTGCTAAAAGTTTTATTTTTAGAGAATCTCCTGTAACCTGTCACCCTTGACTCGCTGATTGGCTAAAGGTGACACAACTGATCGATACGTTTCGGCTGATATACATAAGTTATATCGCATATTTAGAGTGCACGGCGTAATGTGCTATAAACCACATATAGTATGTACAATTGTACATATATATATATATACAAATACATCGTGTAGATCGTAGCTTGTAAGAAGCATAGACACAATGGCTAGGGTGGTATCGTATAATTAAGGGTCGAATATTGCACCATGAAGTTCCCTGCGTAATATAGCGGCTTAACGGACGCCTTTTATAATGGGTTATGGTACGCTCATTAAATCGTTCATCAGGGGAACTTTTCTATCTCGGCGCATTAGGATTGATGGTACAATGAGCAGGAAGAAAAGGAAGAGGCCTGCAGGTTAACGAGCTGCGATTCAGTTTTAATGTCCCTCGAGTCTCGCCAGGACAGCTCTTTCGCTTCTTCTTCGACTTGTCTTAGCATAAACACGTGGCAAATCCATTTACTCTTTTCCTCCTCTCCTCCTCTCCTCCTCTTCTCCTCTCGAAGGACTCAAAACCACGATTCACAGAATAAGGAGACTCAGCTAATTACTTCCGGCACCATCATTCGCGAGCCAGTAAGGCGAGTTCGGTCACCGTTATTGGCAAATCTTTGACAAATCAGCATCCACGTATGGTCCTTGCTCTCGCATTAGTTCTCTTGGTGCTTAACAATTTTTCAATTCTTAAAATCCCTCAAGCATAAAGTCACAAGCTCCGTTTTTTTGAACTTTTTGCCCCTTAAAATTGCTTTCAAGATCCAGGCATCGCTTGTAATCTGATAAAACGATATTTGGGCGTCCCGGCAGGTTGAGTCGATTACTCGGCGCTTCGAGTAAAAGCGAGGTTGGGTTAAGAATCGGGG